TATTGCTATTATATACTTTGTCTTTGTGAATTTTTTTTAAATCCTCTTCATCGACCCTAGAAAAGGCCCATTCGCGGAAGAATTTAAGAGACTTTACGCCAATCTTACAGGGATGGCCGCACGTCTTGATGTGCGGTGGTCAGAGCGTGAGGACCAATTAAAGGCAGCAATGCAGGCGGCTGAGTTTCAAGCGGCAGTGGATGAACTGGCTGAATGGCTGGCTGAAAAACAAAAAGCTCTAAAAAGTCTTCAAGGGCAGCCAATGAGGCTGAGGCAGCAAGAGATGACTCCTACTGAAATCAAGCTCAACGATCCTGATTCCGCAAAATCAAAAAAAGCCAGTCTTGGCTCGACCGCAAACCGAGTGCAGAGATTGAAGGCGATTGAAGCAGAAGTGGCCAGTAATGCTCCGGTGGGATAAAATCTTTTAAAGATGTTTTAAGCTTATAAACAGATTAAATTTATAGTTGGCTGTGGGAATTTCTATAGTAGACTGGAAAGGACACTTATCTTGTTAGAAATATTGAATTTTCATGTCATTTGCCCTCTATCCTATTTGCTAGTTAATTTTTTACTTTTTGAATGATTCTTTGAGATACGGCCAATAAAAAAATATATTATTTAATTTGTCATACTTTCATCTTTAGTTTTATTAATTCGGCCTCCTAATTACCTATATATAATGCAATAGGCTGCTTCTGAAAAACGTGTTAATGGAGTTCATAAGATCTTAGTTCGCTGTTTGATTACATCAGTTTTACCTCTAGCGTATATAACGTGAATTCAAAACGTTTGTATTACTATTTTTATTTTCGGTCATTTAAATTATTCTAACGGTTTAACGCTTGACAACTTTGCTCGATGGCTTCGCTGGTTCACTTTGCTTCTGCCTTCATTACTTAGGAAAATTTAACGGGGTTCATGTCATTTGCATTTGGTTTATTTTAACTACAAGCATAAAGCAGTTAATCATTTTTCAATAGATGCGTTCTTGATTTATTTTATAAGAGTCTGAATTTAGGCTTAGTTTACAGAAATTATCTGGCTTTATTAAATACTATACCTTACACGAGAGATTTAAATTTTCTCCATATTTCTTATATTCATTTCTCATATCCGGGCATCTCTTTACTTTTGCCTTTGATATGCATTTTCGAGGGTGGATTGACTTATTAAAGTTGGCGAGCTTCAAATATACTTTCAGTTCATTTATATATATATATATATATATATATATATATATATATACGTTGATTGTTGATCTCT